CCTGCTGGCCTATCCCAGCAAATTCAGACCATACAGCTTGTGTTAATGCAGCATAAAACAAAAACAACAAGAAGAATGAGTGGAAGGGGAAAATAAAACCCTTTAAAATTCCCAGTGACAATATTCAGTAACCCTTTAAAATAAAGAAATGGCATTTTTGAGTGTCCATCACTAACAGTTCTTTACTGAAGGCTCACAGATTACCGTGCCCAAAAGAGTGGCATATTCATTGCCTTCAAATGAATAAGGTAAATGAGGTATAAGCCAGGGAAGTGACTTGACAAAGAAAGCATATGATTTATGGAAGTCTAAAAGAACAGAGAAAGAAGAGGATAGTCTGGCTATGCACAGAAGTAAAAGGCTGAACACGTCTGTGAAGAGAAGCAAGGGAAAGAAGGAATACTGAGATAACCACTGGCAAACCAGAGAGCAGCAGGGGAGGAAAAGAGATTTGCAAACAAGACAGAGTAATCAAAAGTAAGCAGTATGTCATAAGAAGGTTTAAATGGGCTGCATGTTCAGGTGATGGAAAGAAAAACCTCACGCTTTAGGGAGCTATATGAGACTGGAGGGGGGAAAAAGCAAAGTTAGGTGATATTACGCCAGGATGTAAGGGAGTCAGATGCATATTGTTAGCATCAAAACACTCTGGATAGCACATATTTTTTATGGAAATGCTCACAAAGAATAGAGCTTACAGCTAGAGTATCAAGCATTTCTGACAAGTCACTAATCTCCCTTATGCTTGCTTCTGACAGGTCTGGCAGGTCAGACTCCAGTGGAGCAGGCATTGGTTGATGCCATTGTGGACACCATTGATGATTTCATAATACTGTTCCCCTGGGCAGAAAAAAATCAGGATGTGAGGGTAAGACAGCCACTAAGCTAAACAATGATAATCCATATGCACGTGTACCTCAGCATCTCCTCTGTGGAAAAAGCCTCATGCCAACCCACCATCTCACTTCACCCCAAGGCGGAAGACCGCTATGGCTCTTCCTCCAAGCTAACTGAGTTAAGGTCATCTGCTTCCTTCCACCTCCACAAGATTTTCCCCATTGTGGGAACAATGAGGTCAGCATCAGCCATCTCACCCGCTCACTTTAAACTGAGGATACCATATACACGTATATCAAACTGCTCTTCAAAAGGGCACTCTCTTTCCAGTCAGCACTGTAATATCCGTACCATCACAAAAAGCTCAAATCTTTGTGCCTTTGCTAATTCAGTGTGATAAACAGCTCCATCCCATTTTCTTTTTGTGCTCCTACACCTTGGTTTCTTCATAATATTTTAGAAAAATTCAGAAACCCTTGGCCCCACCACTATCCAGTGTGGATCTTCTGCAGACACCAGTGCCCATGGTAACGCATGGCTGTGATACTTGAACGCAGTCACAGACAAGTCCTAGATCACTTGAGGTTTTGGCATCCCTCTTTTTCCCAGTGCTTGCTCATCACATCCTTAAATGCAAACCTACAGAGTTGTTGCTCAGGGTACAGTGAGTTAATGCTGGCACTGCAGATATTTCACAGTGCTCTGACCTCAGGAGATGACACAACACTTTTAGGAAAGTTGTGATGTAGCAGCATGTCCATTCATTAATTACCAGAGCAGCCACCTTTTCCTTATCCAAACATCTTGGACTGACTGGGATACTGTGTTACAGAAACCATAGAGGACCAAATGTTCACAAACTAATAAAAAACAATGAAATCTTACAAAACCTTCTTGGGAAAAATCTGAAGTTTGAAAGTTTTAGTACTCAAAAACGCTAATTACTTTGCTTTGCAAAGACCTCTTGGAGTTTCCTAATTTCCCCCTAGTTTGGCAAGGGAATGTTGACTCACAGTTTTTGGACATTTAGAAACAGGCACAGCCTTGCTGGTGTAGTAGTGCAGTAGAGCACGTAAGCCATAGAACTGCTGTCCCTGTTCTTCCATCACTGGGTGTGCCCCAGCTGTCCCAAGGCACTTCTCCAAAACAAAGATCTGGGTCGTGCCTCCAGTGCTCAATGTGAAAGGGAGCAGTGCTCACAGGCAGCCTGCGTGTGCCTGTGTGCACATACACTGCATAATATTGTCTGGGAGGCCAAAAGGTCTAGAAAATTGCTTTTTGGGAGTCTGCAGCACTTCTGGCACTAATAGATCTCCCTGGGTCCACTGCCACCACCTTGTGGTCGACGTGCAAAAGGACAGAGACTTGGAGAGTAACAAACGAGATTTCATTCGTTATGTATATTTTGCAAAGGGTGGCAATATTAAAAAATAAAGTTACAGCACAGGCTGCAAGTCTGACATTTCTGAATTGCAAACTTGTGGCTGTGACTTGCAGTCATAGCACTCAGTTCAAAGAATCATAGTACAACCCAAACTGAAATGGACCCACAAGGATCATGGAGTCCAACTCCTGGCTCCACACAGCACCACCCAAACATCACACCTTACGTCTGAGAACGCTTTCGAAATACTTCTTGAATTCCAGCACCTTAGGGCCGTGATGACTGCCCTGGGGTGCCTGTTCCATGCCCACTACCCTCTGAAGAGGTGAAGAGCCTTTTTGTATCACCCAACCTAACCCTCCTACGATGCAGCTCCATGCCTACCTTTCCCCTAGGTCCCATTGCTATCAGCATAGGGAATAGCTCAGCACTGTCCCTCCACTCCCCTCACGAGGAGCTGTAGGTTGCCATAAGCCCTCACCTCAGCCTCCTCTGCTGAGTTACAGAGCTCTTTGCAGACAGCAGGAGGAGATGCCAAGACTTCAGTCTGATCTGCAGAAATACAGGTTGTATTCCAACCAGCAGTTTTGGGGTCAGGCTGCTGCTGTTTCTAAATTTTGGCTTGGTTAAATATATGGCCAGGTCACGTACTCACTGCACAAACTGTGCCAAAAAGATCATCACAGATGCCAAAAAGATAATCACAGCCATTTGCGATCTCAATCACTTTGTGCAGATGACAAGAGAAAAGTAGCTATCTCCCAAGGAAACAGCTAACCCTTTACTAGCAGCCTTAAAACCTTCTGCTGCGGGAACAGCTAGTGGAGAACCACTGCTATTCAGTCTTATCCTTAACTCACCAACATGCAAGGTATCCTCCCATACAGACTTAGCCTCAAATCTCACTGAGGCATGAAAAAAAAGAGAACAACCTGCTAACACGAAAGTTCAAAGTTAAATCCAGCAAAAGCCTGGTTCATAGCCTACATTAGGAGGGCTGGCAAGGAAAAACAACTGACCAATACTTGACCAACAGCAGAAAAGAACGGGCTTATGGGATTCTGCAAACTGGAGGGATGGTACAAGAGGAATGGCTAGAAATTCTTCCCAAATCTATGGCAGGGCTCCTGCCACGTTGTCACAGGCTGTTGAGTGGCATCACCACACACATCTCTGTGGGAGATCTCAACATTCTTTAGGTGCTAATAAGGAAACAAATTGCCTTTCTGCACAGCTCACTGAGTCTAGCTCTGGGTGTTTCAGGCAGGTGACAAGCTTTTCAGGTAGTTCAGCTTTCCTGCATTGCATAGTATCCTCTTGCAAGTACTCTAATGACAACACAGCTGCCACCAAATTATTTAAAATAACTGCACTCTCTGCATTCTTGATCTGTACTTGGATGTTAACACATTCCTTCCACCAAAGAGGAATGTGACAACTCTACTTGGATCAGACCATCTATCAGCTTTTCCAGTTTTCCCTGTGCATCTTTTTTCCTAAGAAACCTTCAAGAATCCAGTTTTGCTGATCGCTGTGTGCATTCTGTTCTTCCCCCAGGAGAAAGCTTTTAATGACATCCTCACCAACAAAGGCCCCGAGCTGCTGAAAAATCTGGATGCTTTCTTAGGAGACAAAAATTGGTTTGTAGGGAAATCTGTAAGTATAATTTCGGTTTCTCTCATCCCAGTGACACCGCCAGTAAAATGCAACTGTGACTACTGTTAGCATTATGGATTTCACGCTATCCCAATGAAATCTTGTAAAAACAGGTCACTTGATATATATATATATTTTTTTTATTTCTTTCTTCTTACCAATACACAACTGGTTGCTCCATTGTGTAGCGAAAGCTGTTCACGCCATCAGAAAAAGAAAGCAAACCAGGATAGATCTGCATTTCCTAAACCATTCTAGATGTTGATACAAGACACTTTAAATACTTTGCACTACTTAGTGGAGGTGTGAGTTACAAACTCTGCATAGAGTCACTGCTTGATTTCTGAGTCAATACTAAAAAAGAAGAAGAAAAAACAATACTAGTGGCAAGAACCTGTTTTGACTAATTTTTAATCAAGTTAATCCTTGCATTGCAGCACAGTTACTATCTCTGTAACTTAAGAACCCAAAACCTAGCAGGAACCAGATCATTCGTGCTTCGTTTTTGCTGAGAATATTCGTTGCCCTAATTTTCTGAGATTACCAATTCAGGTTTACAACTTCTTTCCTCTTTCCACCAGGTAACATGGGCTGATTTCTACTGGGATGTGTGCAGCACAACGCTCCTATCCTATAAAGCTGACCTGGCAGACAAATACCCCAGGCTGTTGGCTCTCAGGGACAGAGTGCAAGCACTGCCCGCTATTGCAGCCTGGATCCAGAAAAGACCAAAGACAATAATTTAGATCAGCTGTTCACTGCAAAAACAAACGCATGTTTTTTGATTTTTGAACATTACAAATGTGCTAAGTTATTAATTTTAGAATCATTTAAATTAATTTCAAGTGAGTGTGCAGGACCAAATCAGAATCTAGTAGAGTAGAGCCTGGGTAGAGGTGCTGTTCCAACAGCATTCCCTTCATCACTAAAAAAGTGTTTGAAAAACACAGTCAATGTTCTGTAAGTACTCAGATGGAGAAACAATAATAAATATTACTGACAAATATAACCTCAATGATACTTCCTGTTTATTGTTGACTTTCTCAAGGAAGCCAGGTTAAACAAGATGAGAAGTGCTTGGGAGGATTAAGAACACTAGGCAGCACTGATGAAAACTACTCACTTGCTCAAGAGATGTCAAGTTCCTCCAACACTTCCTTAGCCTCCTGCAGTTCCTGCTGTGCCATTACCATAAACTGCAGCTGCCCAGCTGAGACGCTGCCCACATCAGCACCAGCTATAAGCACACCAGCTGCAAAAACATTCAATTGCTCAGCATTTATCCAGTAAAACCAACAAACAACAGTGGCAGGGGTGAAAACTAAATTTAGAACAAAATAAATGGAACATGCCAAAAGTTTGTTCTTCTAGCAACAGGGTAAATAGGTCAGTGGAGCTGCTGAAAACAGGGATAGTTATAGATGAAATAGGTTTACCCAAGCTCAAGGGGAAAACAAGCACTCGTAAGAGGACTCCACTGCTCATAGTGGTTTATCCATTTAAAAGAGACTGGGCTGAAAATGGACGATGATAGGAAATTGCTCTCCTTCACAGCTATTCTTTCCCCCTGCCCCCACTCCGATGAGCCTTACTTCATTAAGCTCTAGAAGTGACATAAATCAACCACTAAGCAGTTCAGAAACTAACAGGTACCAGCAGAAAAAGAAGCAAGGTTCATTCCTGCATAGATTTGAATATGCAGTCTCCATTTGCCCTTGCAATTCCTGCATGCCTTGTTGTAGCTCCCCATAATTTTTTGTTTCCTGAGAGGGAATCTCATCACTGTTTATAAATATCTCAAGTGTTGAAGCCAAGCCGTAAGAGATAAGACTCTTGGTGGTGAGCAACAAAAGAAAAAGGGACAACGGGCAGAATCTATAACACGGGAAGCTCCACACTAACACAAGAATGAACTTATTTACTATCAGTGATAAAGCACTGGAACAAGATGTACGAAGAGATAGCGGACTCTCCTTCTACAGAGATACTCAAGATCTGCCTGCACACTTAGCCATGAACCTGCTACAGGAGCCTGCCTTAGAAGGGGAACTAAACTCAATGATTTCTAGAGGTCCCTTCCAATCCCTACAGTTCTGCAATCCTGTGACATAAGTTCTGCAACTAGGGCACTTCACTATCAGACCATAGACCTGGTATCTCCAGGACTGACTAAGAAAATTACAACCTGAATAGAAAACTCATCACTGTAATACAAAGGAAAGCGCAGCAGTGACAGCATGACAGCAGAGTAGCAAGATCCTAGGCTGCAGCAAGCAAAGACCTGCTCAAATGCAGCAGTTTTAGGCACAGAAATAAAGAAAAGATGCTTCTTACCTTCAAAAAGGCCTCAGATACACAGGGATTTTCAAGAAAATAGCCTTGCATCCACTGCCAACCCTTAAATAAGGTCTGGGAAGGGGTAGATCCTGGCTCCATCCCTTCCAATCACTCAGGTACAATGCATGCACCTGAGCTCCCCTGCTGGCCCTGCCTTCCACCAGGTGTTCAATCACTGCTTCAGGCTGTGACTTAGCATTTCTGCTACAGGCAGGAACTCCCATTTTCATAATCTGTATTCTAAAGCAACTTTTATTTGAATACAATGAGATAATAGTAAATATTTACTAACAGATAAGAGAAGTCAGGTCAAATGGAGCATTTTGGATAGTTTGAAAGCTGCCTCTGATTTGTATCATGCAAGTCATCAGTTCCACCCTCCTCACCCAATAACCACAACATGAGAACGTGTTGATAATGCATGGAATTTTATTTGAACAAATTGATACAAAACCAGGACAGTACGTCAAAAGAACCAGAACAAGCAGAAACAGACTTAGGCATTGTCAAATAAGGCACATATAAAAGAAATCTACAAGCATAATCCAGTGAAACAGACAGTTTATTTATATGTCTGGAGGTAGAAATAATTACAAAAATACTGACAAATCTTAAGCAGTAGCAGATTTATTAAAACAATTACTACGTAGGTCCCCATTTTGAAAAACGTCCTGTAAAATAATGTTTCTTCAGCATCTGATGTTGATAGACTTGTACTGTTTATGTTTTCAAGCATCGAAAGAATGCTACCAGTGTTAAAAATTATCAATACCATGAGGAATAAAATGAAGAAACTACAAAAAGTTATAAAACTTCAGAAAACTCATGGTCATCAATAACATAAGAGTCCTCGGGGGTATGGCATTTCATTTCTTCCTTAAATTCCACATATTTACAATTTAGAGACCTAATGAGGCTTTCAATAGCGTGGCTATATCTGCTGGAATGGCCCCTTCTTCTCCTGAAGAATCAAAACATACATTAGTAGAGCAATAAGTATCTTACATAAACTGACAAAAGTCTAGAATCTCAAAACTGTACACAATCCTCTACTTGCAAGCATTTGGTCTGCGTGTCAGATTCAAGGGACACTTCCTGTCAAGCTGAAAAGTAAACTGGCACAATACATTTTCTAGTTTAAAGTGGAACTAAATATTGTCTCATCTTAATTACGAGTGCAGTTTTTTGGAATAATATATTGCAGTGATCTCCTTAACTCATGTAAGGTGAAATCATTTCTGGCAAGAGACTTACCCAAATCTGCTGCAGTCATATCTTGTTCTAACTTCAATTTCTGCTGATTCATTTTGAGCATGGATTCTTCAATAGTCCCTTTACTGATCAGCTTTATGACTTTTACTTCTCTGAAAAGCACAAAATAGGATAAATACATCTTTACAGTTTCTTTGGATCAGTGTAAAAGGAAAGGACTTATGCCTTTGTTTGAATGGCAGTAGTTTACAACAATACTAAAGCAGACAGTTTCTCTCTTTGGACCAGTTATGCTCCATACTGACAGAAAACTTGTTTTCTCCTCAGCCAGCACAAGGGTCTGTATGGTCTCAAAAAACTCACGTTCATAGAAACAACTGAATATTTCTCAATCTGATACTACAAGCAAAATACCATTTACTAAACACATTCTATGGCTCACAACCTATTCCTTAGTGAAGAAAACAGAGCAGAAAACTGATCCTTTCTTCAAGGCACTGCGGCATTTTAAAGCTTAGAAGTCTTTGGAAGAAAACAACCAGCTTTTTCAGCCAGTTCCAATGACTTGCGACCAGTCTTCATATAAATTTCTGGTGCTAAAAACTGAAGTGAACTGCAGAAAAATGAAAAATTAGAGTAGAATGTAATTAAGGTTAGTTCCACCTACAACCATGCAATTGTAAGACAACTGCAACTATTTAGCTTCCAAGCAATCCAGAGACGGCTTAGAGAAATCTGATTAAAATGGAATCTTTAAATCAAACTGTTTGCCTCCAAGAGAAACAAGCATCATAACTAAGAAGTCTTACCTTGTTTGACCTACTCTATGGCATCGATCTTCTGCTTGCTTATCATTGTATGGATTGCAATCGATGTCATGAAGAATAACAACATTCGCTGAAGTCAGATTGATTCCCAAGCCGCCAGCTTTGGTTGACAGGAGGAACACAAATATACCCATATCTGTATTGAACTCATCTATTAGATGTATCCTACGGAACATAGGAACACATGCATCAGGTCTTAGAAAACAACAAAACTCTTGCTTCAGAGTTAAATATAGAAGTTATAATTATGATCTGAGGAAGAGGCCAGGGGGATTGCAAAGCAACTCAAAAGTACAGATGTTAGGCATAAAGGAAAAGGTGTGACAATTCTAAGGGGTGACCAGAACATACTTAAAGATTGGTAAGACAGAGCAAAGAATGAAGTGATGTTTGGAATAAGATTTTGGATTATCATCACGGAATACAAAGAATAAGCTGGTGGAGGAGGTTGGGGAGGACTATGGCAAAACAGGTGACAGGACAGTGAAGAATTTAGGTTCACAACTGTCTTGCACTAATTGCACTTGAAAGTTAAGAAGAGTAGAGATTTCAGCTGCAAGTGGGAAGTAACATCATACCAATAACTTGATCATTGAAAGAAGAAAAGAGCATCTGAAAAAAAGATTCCAGGAAACGGGAAGTGTCTACAGGTGAGCCTTAACAAAAGTCATGCTGACATAAAAGCAAATCAAAACATCATTTATAGCAAAGTTGAAAGTTTTCCAGTTGGATATGCTAATGACAATCTGATCTTCTAAACTCACCTTTCAGCCTCAACCTTGTTAAGGCAATCTGAAATTCAACATTAAACTCCTACTAGAGTAAATTCCCAGCAAATACAAAATTCTATATGTTAGAAAACAAAGGTTAGTAAGTCAGATCCTCTCTGCAAACGGCAAATCCATTTCTTCAACTGCCTTCAGAAAACAAACAGAAGTCACATACCTGTCAGAAATCTGTGTTTTTCCATCCAACCTAATATACCTGTGTTGCCAATGTTTTAGGAAAACTTCCAAGATATCCAGTACCATTGTAAACTGGCTAAACAACACAACTCTGTCACCCTGGAAATGACATAGAAAAACAAAAGTTTTAAAACACTTCAGTTAAAGTGATGAACTAGACAAATGTATTATTTGCATTTAAAAAGTGATTTTACTTAGAATCCCTGATTTCCAAACTGAAAAACGAAGCTGACATTACTAAGACTGCAGACTGACTTTTAATAAAACGTGTAAAGCATTTCTGTTGTGTTAATCCACCTTTAGTTAGAGTCAGAAGTTTTTTTAGTTATTTTGTACTTGGGTCAATTAAGCAATCTAGAAATCACAAGTCAAGTGCAAGAATGACAGACCTATAAAAATATGTTAAAAACTGTTAAATTTGAGCTGTTTTCCATATCATAGATCTCTGTTGAAATATTTGGCTACATGCTTATTTGCACAATAAGCCAGTGTGAGTTTGTAACTCAAAAAATGACACCTTATGTTCATGTTAAAATGAACATAAACATGAAAGCCATGTATTAAGCCAAATTAATAGTCTTATTCAAAGGCCAAAAAAAAGTCAGATGATTCAACCCTTATGAGCTGTGAAAGCGATACTGTGCCTACCTACTAACTGTCATGTTAACTTGGGTTAGAAAATTCAACACTTGAAAAATGAGGAAGCTTACTTTCACTGTGTAATCTTATTGTCTATAGAGCAAAGTGCAAAAGTAGGACTACATGTTAAAAGCAGTGCACTGCATGCACATTAAATCAGACTGTAATACTCCATACAAAAGCAACTGAGTAGCACATACAGCTGCTTGTGACCACATGGTGAGGGTTTTTTTGGTGCCAGCCATTATAAAGACAGCAAAGGACATTTCAATGAT